GACTTTTTAAAGTTAAACTATTTCAGAGTTTTCTGGTTGTCACTGCAATATTAGTGTGGCAAGTTAAAAGAATGGCAGTGGTTATAGACGGCGGCGTATTGATTACAAAACACCTTTTTTAAAGTTAATTATTGAATAAATCTACAAAAAAAAATAGTATTTTTTGTGAAAATTCACTAGTGGGACCCAAATCAGTTATTTTTTTCATTTTCTTCGAGAGACACGAATAATATAGATAAGCAGAGATCGACAGACAGAATATAGATAAGCAGAGATCCACAAACAGAATATCGATAAACAGCTAGAGATCGACAGACAGAATATAGATAAGCAGCTAGAGATCGAAAGACTGAATATTGATAAGCAGCTAAAGATCGAAAGACTGAATATAGATAAGCAGCTAGAGATCGAAAGACTGAATGTAGATAAGCAGATAGAGATCGACAGACAGAATATTGATAAGCAGCTAGAGATCGAAAGACTAAATATAGATAAGCAGCTAGAGATCGACAGACGAAATATAGATGAGCAGCTAGAGATCGAAAGACTCAATATAGATAAGCAGCTAAAGATCGACAGACAGAATATTGATAAGCAGCTAGAGATCGAAAGACTAAATATAGATAAGCAGCTAGAGATCGAAAGAAAAAATATAGATAAGCAGCTAGAGATCGAAAGACTAAATATAGATAAGCAGCTAGAGATCGACAGACAGAATATTGATAAGCAGCTAGAGATCGAAAGACTAAATATAGATGAGCAGCTAGAGATCGAAAGACTGAATATAGATGAGCAGCTAGAGATCGAAAGACTGAATATAGATGAGCAGCTAGAGATCGAAAGACTGAATATAGATGAGCCATAAAAAGGGATAAGTAGAAACTAAGCGCTATTGAGATATTAGGACAAAGTTAACAGACAGTCTTGATTCAGGACGGATAACATTATATTATACATATCAAATTCACAATTTGATGGATGTATGGAAAGATAGATTAATAGAAACCTAGATAGATAGATTACTATCCGCTAAACCCTACTATTTCTTAGTTCAAAGTACTGCAGATTACTGCTGTACGCACCAACAGCTTAGTTTAGGGCGAGAAAGATATATATATATATAGATATAATAAAATATAGATAGATAGATAGATAGCTACATAGATAGATAGATAGAATTATATAGATATCTTCTTAAAATAAGTTCAAACATTTTCTATTGTTTATTTAATATTGTTTATTACTAGATATATATATAATAAAAAGATAGCTATATTACCAATATGAGTGATTTTAACATCTGTGAAGATATTGCTGCCATCAGAGCTGCGGACTATATAATTACTAGGACTGTGTGTTCTTAGGTAGTTGGACAGATCACCCTGATTTATAATTATTATTATTATTATTATTATTATTATTATTATTATTATTATTATTATTATTATTATTATTATTATTATTATTATTATTATTATTATTATTATNAGTTGGCTAATATTAGCAATGATAACAATAATAATAATAATAATAATAATAATACTTGTAGCAAGATCCCAACGCATATCTGTGACCCCTGTATTAGTACAGCTAGAGTTACTGCTCGCATAGCTGGGTAGGTCATCACAGTCAGGTAAACGGAAGTGCCCACGTGAGTTATAAAACACACCTGGAAAAATAGATAAATATTCTGCAAAACTGTGATGGACAACATGATAATCAAACTTTTGTGTATCACACCCTGACTAACCAGGGCTAGATGCACGCTAAACTAAGCTTACTGTGCACAATGCTGTAAGCTGAAGTACTCTAACTGAAATAATAGCGGGTTTAATTGAAGAGTGGATGTACTTGGTTTAATAAATTTAAATTTAGTCGTGTTTTGGTTTAAATTCAATAATCTTAACTTATAGACAAGTAAAGTAAAAAAGAAAAACAAAAAACGTTTAATGGTGAGGCAAGGACACAAAGACCGAAGTTTTTAATTAGTGTGCGCACAAAAGAAACCCAAAACAATATACCCCCCCCCCCCCACCCCTTAATTCTTTTTGGGAAAATAACTGCCCATTCATGATTTGTTGATCCTTGAAGTACTCGAGAGCAAAGATGAAAGTTGGCCTGTTATCAATTTAAACTTGTTTTATCCAACAAAACTTTACTTTCAAACAAAATCTGTAAACTTCAATCTAAACCAGGAAGAAAAATAAATGAGCCACTGAACCATTTAACTTAGATTAAACCTTATAAAGAACTAAAACCAACAGCAGTTTACTTAATTACATCATTAAAGGGTTTGTTCACCTAATTACAAAATACATAACATCACAATATTTGAAATTGATAAAACATAATTTACAAGAAATTGCTGAATATCAAAAGATGACTGGATGAATTTAAAAATATTGGAATGAATAAAGAGGATGAATCATGAAGGTCTGAATTGATAAATGTTGTATGTATAAAGATATGAATGAATGAATGAATAGATGAATAAAGATATGAGAAAAAAAATTTCAATTGAGAAATGTTGGATTAATAAAGATATGAAAAGATGAATGAATGAATATGAGTAGGAAATATCGTAGCAATTTACTACATATTTGAATAAAGATATGAAAGATGAATGAATGAATAGATGAATGAATGAATAGATGAATGAATGAATAGATGCATAAAGATATAAAAAGACATGAATTAATAGATAGATGAATAAAGATATGAAATGACATGAATGAATGAATAGATGCATAAAGATAGGAAAAGATGAATGAAAAAATAGATAAATAAAGATATGAAAAAATGAATAAATGAATAGATGAATAAGATATGAAAAGATGAATCAATGAATAGACGAATAAAGATATGAAAAGATGAATAAATGAATAGATGAATAAAAGTATTTCTTCCAACCGGATATTTGTAGAATCATGGTATACAGACATAAATGCATATTTCTAGCTGCATTAAGTTTGACATCTCTGGGAATATAGGAGGGGGGGAGTTATGCTGATGGGGGTGGGAGGTATACCAGGGCTGGCAGGTCAAACCACCCTACAATTAAATCTCGTTCAAAATATTTAGTGAACATTCCTCTTATTTTTAGGGGGAACTAGTTCATTTCACATTTTAATAGGTCTCTTTAATATTGTAAGAAAACTGTCCTATATTGTTCTTGAACATTTGGGTTAATATCCCTTAGATAATTTCCAGATTATCTCTCTAATAGATAACTGTATGTGGCTAATATCCATCCTTTACAACTTTTCAGAGAAAATAAACTTTTTGTTTGGAAAACTTTGTTCATTTTGTTTTGTTTTTGTTTTACATACCTTTGTTATGTTTACAGTTCCTTGGTAGAATCTTCCGTTACCCTTCACACAGTTCGCTGATAATAATAATATCAATAATTAATAATAAATGAATAAATGAATAGATGAATAAAAGTATTTCTTCCAACCGGATATTTGTAGAATCATGGTATACAGACATAAATGCATATTTCTAGCTGCATTCGCAACAGATCATATTCACATTTGAATTTAACAGAAACCAAACTTGGAGAATTTTTAAAGGAGGGTTGATAGGATGAAAGAATGAAGAGGATGAAGAGGATGAAAAGGATGAAGATGATGAAGAGGATGAAAATGATGAAGAGGATGAAGAGGATGAAGAGGATGAAGAGAATGAAGAGGATGAAAAGGATGAAGATGATGAAGAGGATGAAGATGATGAAGAGGATGAAGAGGATGAAAAGGATGAAGAGGATGAAAAGGATGAAGAGAATGAAGAGGATGAAACGGATGAAGAGGATAAGGAGGATGAAAAGGATGAAGAGGATGAAGAGGATAAATAGGATAAATAGGATGTAAAGGATGAAAAGTATGAAGAGAATGAAAAAATAAAGAGGATACAAAGGACAAAGAGGATCAAGAGGATCAAAAGAATCAAGAGGATTAAGAGAAAAAAGATGATCAAGAGGATCAAGATAATTAATAATTACCTTTTTTCTTTTTGCTTAGAATCATTTCCCACTCAGAATAGCAAAAATGTTGCCTAAATAAAACTGTTCAATCAAGATATCTTTGATGATTTACCGTGTGAAGGAGAAGTTCTGAATTGTGTTATATCAATAAGAGATTCAGTGAAATATATTCAGCTTAACATTTCATATTCTTTAACTGCTGTTAAGTGGACGTTCAAGGGCAGACTAACCAATATCTCAGGGTAAAAAATTTAGATTTTGACTACGAAGAGGATAACTAAACCCAACGATGTTCAAACAAAGATTTAAATGTCAGACATGAAATTCATACAAAGTTTTGATGGTTTACGAAAAAAGTATTCAAATAAATAATTAAGTAAACACTTCTGATTTTAGATAATCTCTCATAAATCTCTCTGATAAAATAACTGAGTTCTTGCCACAAACTCAAGCTTTCCAACCCCTATATCTTTGCAACTTCATAGTTTAAACCTTCAAACTTTAACTATTTAATCTAACATAATTTACAGCTCGAAATATTGAAGGTCTACGACATCAGGTTACAAAGGTAAAACTATTAAAAAACAGAGTTTGTGGCAAGAACTCAGTTCAAACTTAAAAATAATGAAATGTAGTTCAGCTGGGTAGAAATGGTTAAACTACTGCTGTAGTGTGAAAGAGAGAAGTAGTTCAGCTGGGTAGAAATGGTTAAACTACTGCTGTAGTGTGAAAGAGAGAAGTAGTTCAAGAAATAGTTCAACCAGCAATACCTGGTCTAGCTATAGTGATACCTGAGAGCTATACAGTCCTCGTAACAGATAGGTAAACCGGCAGCTACTCCCTTCTCCATTATACAGCTTGGGAATGCAAACCGGCATAGTACAGTCTTAACAAATAATATTCATTATCTAATGGTTACCTACAAAGGATGAGACTGAAAAGACGACCTAAGACTATTAAAATACAACGATCCTAAGGATAACTTTAGTCTTCTGCCTTGAAAGTAGTCTTTTTTAATAGTTTATTATATGATTAAGCAAAAAAGAAACAAGATTAAAGTTTCAGGGAATCATTATTATTAAAAAATGTTACTCAAAAAATCAATGAAAAATTTGCTTTGTTAAAAAGTTAACAAAATAAGCTCATTGAAAGAGTTTCAGTTGCAAACAAAGTTTTCAAGAAATCCCGTAAAATCCCTTTAAATATTAAAAGTTTACTTTGTAAAGTTTCTTAGCTCGCTTATCTGACAGATAATGTTAGTTACAGTTTAATTATTTTCCACTTACAACTTTTAATCCTTCTGTAACAACAAGAATTTAGACACTTTAGAAACAGATTTTAAACAATTTTTCTCAGAACTTGTTTTACATTTCTTATGCATCTAAAACCTATTTAAGTCTTTTAAGCGTAAACAGATTTAGAAATAATCTCAACTAAACAAGAAACTAGGGAACTAGTTCATTTCACATTTT